TAATTGTTCTAAAACGGAAACATCAGAATGCTTAGGACTCCTATTTCCATAATGATCAATTAGCTAAGTCTCTAGTGTCTGGAGAATAAATAACCATTCATGAGTGATATCTAAAGATAAAATCTGGCCAGATCTACTTGCCTAAATGATTCTGATGACATAACAAAGTTGGCCAGCAGCAGCATATCATCCGGATGAAGGGAAGTTTTTTGAGCACCAACAAGACTGATTACCTGAATTCAACCTTTAATGTGTTATTTTAAGTCATGTACGGAAATAGGCAAATTAAGTAGAGGGTCAAACCATGTGCCTGCACATCAGTGTTGCAAACAGAACATCTGAATCAGCAACATCTTGCAAAACAGCACCTGCAACTTGCCTTGTCGCATATGCAAGAGGAAGACAAGTATAGGCATGAATAAATGTACCTGGGTTCCTGAAATGATCAGACAAATAACATTTACAACTAAAATATACATCACTAAAAATCTATAATACAAAATAGGATATTTGGAAAGTGGGCATGCTAAGAGAGGATATACAAACCAACTAAAAGAGTGGATTAGGGAAGAGAAGACAATGTCTGTTCCACCAAGCAAGGGTGTCATATCAAACTTTGGATTCTTCTCAAAATATCTGTTTATTGATTTTGTTAGTATAACAAGCATCTGCAGGTGTGTGGACAACAGGGAAGTATCATGTAACCATCAGGATATATGGTGTCTATTTGAATGACAACAAAGAAGCAATTGTAAATTTGTAATTTGAGAAGCATGGACAGAAGCAGGGAAATTAATCCAGAAATTTTAGAGTGCAAGTGTAACTGGACTATACCTGACCATAAATTAGTTCCAACTGCCCCATCAATGAATCATAAGGCTCTTCTGTGCAGCTGATGCAGACTAAATAAATTGGCCCTTTCACAAGAAAAACCACCTACCGATAAATTCAAAATAAAACTTCACAACATTAAAGCACCGTATTGGTCCAGCAAGACATAACGTATAAAAAATTTCCCAGGTTTAAAAAAGAGTGTAATATCTATGCAACGTCAGTGTAAAGATTTATACACAGTCAATACATCATCCACCATCCATTTGAATTACTTTTTTTCAGAGTCAATAATGATTAAATATGAATGATGGATGATACAGTAATAATATATAGAACTCATACACTATCGTTGTATACATTTTTTTCTCTTTCAAAAATGGTATTTGTTCCATACTTTTTTTCAGTCCACATAACACAACCCAAGTGGAAAACCCAAAGCGTGCACACACACACAAAAATGGAGACATGGCAAAAAAGCAGTATTATTTTGGTAAGATTAGTTGTAAATTGTGGTCACAATATTGTATTTTTAAGAGTCTCTGCAATTGCATCAGCAGCATTTTCTGCCTTTTTGGTAAATACAATGTAACCACAACCGTAATTTTAAATTGTGAACAAGCTTGAAAATTTGCATTATTTGGGTAGAAACCCACACTTTCTCCTAATGTATTATTGATGAAAGCTCGAGTTGGCTTTAACAGAAGTAAAGCTAAAACGTAACATACTATCACACACCTGATGCTTTCCAGCTCTCACCAATTTGACAGAGTCACCCCTAAGAACATAAAACAAGAAAACGTAGTGTAAATTCATATTCAGATATGCAATAAAAACACAGTAAGGGAATATTGGTATTATTTACGGAGAAGTTACAGTCGGATCTTTAACTTAATCACCATGACACCCTCTTGTTTCAAAACCTACATTTACCCCTCTTGTTTCAAAACCTACACTCTTACTTATCAATACCATTTCATTCCGCTTAACCATTTTGTGGAGAAGAGGTGATTGAAATTACACTAACCTCCCTTGACGTGGTGAGCGTAGCTTTTGAAATAAAAGAGGTGCTGAATGTAATTAATTCAAAACTGAAATATATGAGTTTAATTCCACCTATTACTTAATCATTTATGGAGAAAACAGAGAGACAGTGATACCCGTTTTCCACAAAGGAAATAATTGCTTGCAAAGTTGCTGAAAACCCTGCAAGCTTGAATTCATCTCCATACCTGGGAATCAATAAATGGTGTAAATAATAATAGAAGGAAGATAATGGTATTTGATTGTGATGTAAAGTGTAGAGTTGGGAAACAAGAAACCTAGAATAAATAGGTTTTCCAGAATGACTGAGAATGAAGAAATGCTTCTTCCTTTTCCTCCATGAAATGGAAGCATCATCCTGCACTGCACTTAATTCATTAATCAAACACGAACATAATATGGCATTTTCTCGAAGCTATTGTATATTTGGAAAATGAATGCAGATACCTCATCGAGGTTTCGTTTCCGAGGAATCCATGATGAGGTTGTGGAATGGGGAATTGTATGAACAATTTCAGTAGTGGCGGAGGTGCTTCCCCTTTCATCGTCGGAGAAGTGGAATGGGAGCGGAGGGTTGCCGTCGAGGGCTGAGGAAGACGCCATAGATCTCATGGTGGAGTGAGAGAGGAGTGAGGTTTGAAATGGTTGGAGCGTGCCTGCCACTCGCCCTCACTTTTCTGACCGGTAGGTGCGTGCATGGATTTACTGCCCCCTTTTGTGGCCTGGATTAACTCATCTTTTATTTGGCCCACAACCCTCATGGGAAAATAATTGGTTGCATAAAAACAACAACAAAAAACCATATGCAAGTAAAACTATTTTATCCTATACAATAAACTATGTCATTGTATTTTGAGAAGATAAATTATCTTCTTCCACCACTAAAATTATGATATATATATATATTTTATTTTATTAGTTTTTAGAAATTTTTTTAAATAAAATGTTTAAATATAACGTATGTCATGATTTTAGTGGCTCTTAATATAAGGAGATATTTTATTTTCTTTATACATTGTATTATTTAACATTTTCTTTTTTTTTAAATTATCATATACTCTTACACATAAGTATAATTTTTAGAGTGTCATACAACTATATAATTATCACCAAAACACTGATATAATAATATAAGATTTCATTGAACCATCAAATAAACCAAAAATTAAGAATTTGATTCATGAAGTGATATTTATTGGAAGAAACAGAAATTTTACTTTATGAGATAATACACAACTATACAAGTCCTCCAAATTTTTGAACAAATGAGGAGAATTTTTATGAACTTAAGCAACGGCCCAAGATAAAAGGTTCATATCAAAGTAACCCAATTGCCAAAATAAAAGGAGCTCAAATTTAAAAAGACACATATACCCTTCGCATACTACTTAAATCCTGTCATAGATTAGGGTCTAAACAAACATTTCACCTATCGAGTCTCATCAAAAACCCTAGTCCATCCCTTCTTTCACTTCACCCGCCTCATTTTCACATCTGAAACCCTAATTCCTTCTCAACCATGCCGCCAAAGTTCGACCCATCCCAGGTTGTCGACGTCTACGTCAGAGTCACCGGTGGTGAGGTCGGCGCGGCGAGTTCCCTCGCCCCGAAGATCGGTCCACTCGGTCTCTCCCCTAAGAAGATCGGAGAAGATATCGCCAAAGAAACTGCTAAGGACTGGAAGGGTCTCCGTGTAACTGTCAAGCTCACCGTTCAGAACCGTCAGGCTAAGGTCTCCGTCGTCCCCTCCGCCGCTGCTCTTGTTATCAAGGCTCTCAAGGAACCCGAACGTGACCGTAAGAAAACTAAGAACATCAAACACAACGGTAACATTTCTCTTGATGATGTCGTCGAGATCGCTAGGGTTATGAGGCCAAGGTCAATGGCGAAGGAACTGGGTGGAACCGTGAAGGAGATTCTGGGAACGTGTGTTTCTGTTGGATGCACTGTTGATGGAAAGGACCCTAAGGATTTGCAATCAGAGATTGATGATGGCGATGTTGAGGTCCCTCAGGATTGAGGATGAAGAGGTCCCTGAATCTCTGTTTTTGTTCATTTATTTTTGAATCGTTTTTTATTTAACTTTTGGAACCTTGTTCAACTGTTTTTACTTTTAGTTTAATTACCGCTTTGGATAATTAGAAGTTAATGTTTCTCACATCATGATAAGCTATTTGATATAATTTTGTTGATCTTACATGTTTTTTATTGCTCTTTTCTTAGTGATATAAGTTTTCTGTTGTTACACACTTGCATGAGTTAATTTTCTGGGCTGTTGATATATTCTTGTGCTCATGTTTCTGTATTTTTGCTGTGTGAATTTTATCCAAACATTCAGTCGGGATTTCATTTAATTTCACTATTCACCTCATTTGTTTGACATGGTAGATTTTCCATCTGTTTTAAAGGCTGTTTTAAGCATAAAACACGTCAATGGTTTTTGTTGGATTACTGGGGTAATTAATGTATGGAAATTCATTAACATCGCAGGGCAGTTAATGTGTGAAAATTGATGGGATTTTAGTAAAATCAATGAAAGTATTCCAATGTATACTTGAATGATGAATGTCTGAGTTTTTCTTTTGTATCATTGGTGAGCATGTGTGTTGAGAAGGTTGATCATATTATGTTGGACGATGTTAAATTTCCGTTGTTACATCCCTGATACCATTATGTGTTTTGTTACTCTGTTTTAAGTTTTATGCTTGCCTGCAGATGGCCTTGCATAATTATATTTCTGTTCACTGAAATCTCTCTATCTTACTGTTATAAAGGGTTGATTTTGTACATCTCTGCATCCACATTTCCTAATTTTTGTTATGAGCAAACTTTGATAGGTTAGGAATGAGTGATAATGGAATTGAACATGTTTTTTGTGACTGGTCAATTTATATTTTAACATGTTTGAAGATTTACCAGTAATAGTGTCATAGTCATAGAGGTCGGATATCAGTTACTTGGTTGATGGTGATGGTGTCTTATATTAGGCATCGGCTGTGTTTATTAGCTTAGTTTTGTCTGAGATCAGTCTCAGCTGTGATGGACCATTGTGTTTATTTGATAGTTTTTGGTGCGCAGTCTCCTATATTTGCTACTGGAATTGAAGTAATGTAATGTGTACCTTGGAAACAGACTAGATTATTGGTCATCTAGACACATTGCGACCAGTTTTTCCTCCCCTCCATCCCTTCATCTCTACCATCAATATTTTTTCCATCTGCGCTGCCACATTTGTTCCTCTCCCCGTGCTCTATACCATCCTCTGCTATTCCCCCTCCATGCCTCTGCCACCAAACATGAATCCACCAAGACTGATTTTATCTGCTATCATCAAGTAGAGATGTTGCCTCATCAGACACAGATTCACAATTAAAGATCATGACTGAAAAGAGAGGAATGAGAGAAAAATGGAAAGCAGTGTTTCAGATGGAATGTGTAAAGAACAAACGGAGAATCGAGAAGATAAAGTATTAAGCCAATTAACAACTTTTCTATCTGTTTCCCTATTTCTCCATTAACGTGTTTCTATCCTTACAGGGCTCCCTCAGTCTTCTCTTCTATCTGTTCCTATTTCTCCATTAATGTGTCCCTATTTCTCTATTAACGTGTCTCTATCCTTACAGGGCTTCCATTAACGTGTCTCTATCCTGAAGGTCTCCCCTTTTCATTAACGTGTCTCTATCCTGAAGGTCTCCCCTTTTCGGCTCAATTTTCTCTTCTCAGACCCTTTTATCAAGGGGTCTTGTTCTCTACTGATGTGACAATTTGATATAGAAAAGACATTATCAACTATCATAGGAAAAGGTAGTTATTGGGTGGATACTATCTAACTGTCATACTATTGAGCTGGTTGCAAAGGTTTCCTATATCTATGGCTTTCTCTCCATGTTCCCCTAACCCATCTTTTCTTGAGCTCCATGCGCCTTGGAGCATGAACATTTCTGTGTAGTATATATTGTATCGTAGTTTATATTTGAAACTCCAAACTCTTATGACAATAACAAGGCATTCATCACTAAATTATGCAAATGATACTTGTATACGATAGTAGGATTCATCTGAATATACACTGGAATTAGTGGGAGCGGCATTACATGTCAATTCTCGTCATCATTATGTTCTCCCATTTTTTCCACTAAAATTTTCATCTAAACGTAGCATAATGGTCATTATTTGGTGGTGCTTGTTATGATTATGAGGGTTGTTGGATAATTAAGGGTACTAGTTATTTCTAATCCCTTCTACTCTGTAAGAAGGACCAACTATTATGATCCCATACAATTTTGTCAGCCTGGCATCCATATGCTGTAGGCCTCCAATAATGACCCATTGGTTTAATTTATTGGGGTTTTAAACTTTGCCTCAGTTAATCAAATTAATTACTTAGGTTATTATATGCGAGGGCCCATGCCCATGCATGTGAAATGTTTTAGCAGCTTCTGAATTCTACTTCAAATTCCCAGACAAAGTTGGGTTTTTTCTTTACTGGTTATTGTAGGTCAGATATTTCATCAGACTCAGTGGATCCAGGCCTTGAAAAGGTTTCTGTTTTTCTCTCTCCAAAACGTTAGATCATAGACATTCGTAAGCCTTTGTGTATATTAGATTATATGCAGAAGATTATAGTTATATTTTGTTATAAAGTGATATATTTCTGCATCTAATCAACCGTTAAAGCTTGTGCGTGATGCGTGGATTTTGTTCGTTCTGGTTGATGCATAAATTAGTTTGAAACACTTCATTCAAAGAATGCAACATGATTGAAACTTGAACTAGAAAAAATAAAGAGGAAATGGAAAAAATAAGGTCACGAACTTTTTACCTTTTGGGACTTTTATAACGGTTATAAGACATAATGTGATTTTTTTGGGTAACAAATAAGGTTTTTATAAGTGGTCTTACAAGGAGATCATAGATGACATGGTGATTTAAACCAACTACTAATTTCCTAACATTTTTTTGCTTAACATAAAGCTGAACATATATTTGATGCATCAACCGTATAAACTTATTGTACAATTCATGAGTTAACAATTGTTGATTCTTAAGTATAAGTATTTCATAATAATGAATATTGTAGTTAGTTTCTGTAAGTTTTTTGACATTTCGATCGTTACAAAGAATGAACTACAAAAAATAGTGAAATAGAAGGAATGGTGCAAAACTTGTGAGAATTGGGACCCTTATGTTTTGAAAATGTATTTGATTTTGAGTACGTCCAGATAACTTTTTCTGGCTCGCCTTTCTCATTCCAACATATATGACATTGACAGCTCCCCTCCCTCATTATCCTTATAATATGATCATTATTATTCCACTATTAAAAATGATTATGGATAACTTTCTTTTCTCTTTCATGATAATATTTCTTAATCTCTTCCTATTTTATTATGCTAACCTTTTTTAGCCACTAACTTTGATGCTTCACTTCAATCCATTGGTATAGTTAATAGAAAAAAATTGTAATATCTATATATTAATAGTGCAAAGATTATATATAATCAGTGTATCATTATGATTTATGAAATATGAATGAATGCTATTAAAATATGAATGATGAATTATACAATGAGCTCAATATAAATGAATAAATTTTCTGGTCAAATCATTACATTGAACTCCTGAATTTACTCAATATAAATGAATGTTAATAAGGATTTGAGTCATATTCTAGAATAAGTGACACATGATTTTATTGTTAAGTAAACCATAAAATATATTGTTTTGGTTCTATTAACGGTATTTTTACCTCATCTTATGTGTAATGAACTAATTGAACATTTGACTTTTTAATCATACTGAGATTTAGCGGAACCGTATAACACTAGACCATGATTTGTTAGTACAACCATAAATATATTTGTAACCACTTTGAGAGTTATCATTTTGTGGAATTCATTTTAAGGATAATTAGTAAGTTCTACGGTTTGAGTGAAAATAGAGAGATTTACTGAGAAGTGGGGAGAAGAGTGAAGGAGGACAGAAATGGGACCAAAAGCCATTAATTGGCCTTTGGCAAAGTAGTGAGTGACAGAGAAGCATAACAGCAAAAGTGGTAGACCCATATATTGCACCTTCAAAATTTCCCACTCCAATTTTCTTTCTACATGCAACTTCACAACTTGTCCATAACCACACGCAACCGTTAATTATTAGGAACCTTTTTAGGTAATGTTGGGCCCATATGTGTGTATATATAATAACTCTTATCAAACAAAGGAACCGTTGGAATGGGTAACACTGCCGTGGGACCATGCAAGCGAATTCAAGCTAATAGGGGCGGCATAAAATTATATTAATCATGTCATTGTTACTATACACTAAACAAAAACACCCCTTTAATTATTTGATTTACATGCATACTCTCATTGCTTAAATACCCATCATTTTGTACACATAACACACATAACTAGGTACTATATCTTAGAGCACACTATACACAAGAAGAGTTATAGCTAGCAACAAAGATGACTAAGGATGTTGAGGTTCATCAAGAGCAAGGTGAATACTCTGCTAAGGATTACCAGGACCCACCACCATCACCATTGTTTGATTTAGATGAACTGAGAAAGTGGTCCTTGTACAGAGCCATTATAGCTGAGTTCATAGCAACACTACTCTTCCTTTACATTACCATCTTGACCATTATTGGGTATAATAGCCAGACTGATACCAACAAGGGTGGTACTGAATGTGATGGAGTTGGTGTTTTGGGTATTGCTTGGTCCTTTGGTGGCATGATCTTCATCCTTGTTTACTGCACTGCTGGAATTTCTGGTAACCCTTTTCCATTCATAAATTATATCTTCATAAAACATGTTTGGTTACTTTATTTTTTAAAGTTATTTATATGTAGGTTTTTATCTTAAAAACTATGATTTTCCTATTATATTTTGGTCCATCCAAAATTAATTTTGCAACCAAGATCAAACATACTTCTAGGTATTGTATAATTAGTGAAGTTGATAAGTAATGGTAATTATTTGCTTTCATGGTTTTCATAGAAATGGAACTTATATATGTAACAAGAAAATTGTGGTATGTTGCAGGAGGACACATTAACCCAGCTGTGACATTTGGACTATTTGTGGGACGCAAGATATCACTAATAAGGGCATTCTTGTACATAGCAGCACAGAGTGCTGGTGCTATCTGTGGAGCTGGACTAGCCAAGGGGTTCCAAAAATCATACTTTGATAGGTATGGAGGTGGTGCTAACTTTGTTCATTCTGGCTACAACAAAGGTACTGCTTTGGGTGCTGAGATCATTGGTACTTTTGTTCTTGTCTACACTGTCTTTTCTGCCACTGATCCTAAGAGAAATGCTAGAGACTCCCATGTTCCTGTAAGTATTATTTATCAACTATACACTCAATCATATAAATATATAATACAATAATTATGTGTTGTCTCACTTTTTCTTAATTAATTATATATGTTTGAAATGATATAAAGGTATTGGCACCACTACCAATTGGATTTGCTGTGTTCATGGTTCACTTGGCTACAATCCCAATTACTGGTACTGGAATCAACCCAGCAAGAAGTTTTGGATCTGCTGTCATTTACAACAAGGACAAAATCTGGGATGACCATGTAATTATCCTTCCATAAACTAGTACCCTCTATTTTTTTTATTTTATAATTATGGTTATGTGACATGAAAAATGTACCTAAAATCTTGAAGGAATTCACTAATAATAAACCATGCAAATTAATCATATTTTTTGGCTAATAAAGTGTAGTTTTTATTTTATATTTGTTCCCAATGAAATTAACATGGTTTTACATAGTAATTGCAATTACAGTGATTGATGTTATTTTGATTTCTGTTTCAGTGGATTTTCTGGGTTGGACCACTTATTGGAGCATCTGTAGCTGCAGTATACCACCAATACATTCTTAGAGCAGCAGCCATAAAAGCTCTTGGTTCCTTCAGGAGCAACAATTAATTAAGCAAAATAGCTTCATCATATTGCTGATTAATGTGTTTTCATGAAGACCAATAATAATTGAGGAGTGCAACTATGTCTTCTGAGGGTCCCCTTTTGGTGCTCCATATGATGTTGGGGGGTTTAAGGAAAATGCCAAAACCATAGGACCATGAAAAATGTACATAACCATGCTTTGTGTTTGTGTCCAAGGGTGTGTATTTTCTAGCACTTTACTTAGTTTATTTCTTCTTCTTTTTTAATTTATTTTGATGTATGTTTTCCTTTTTCATCATGTAATTCGATTTTCACAAGAGTATTTGCTTGTGTTCTGGTCAATGCTTTATCAATTACGCACATTAATTTTTTATTTTTTGAAATGTCTGTTTGCGAGTTATGTTTTGAACATACAAGGAAAATAAAAATTTCAGAGTTATCTCAAAGTGTAAATCAAGTCCCTCAAACAGGATCCGGATTCCTTACATGTAGGACTCCTCATTTAATTTAATAGAAGAATAAGCTAATGTACCTTATCTTCACCATATTTTATGTCTATGCCCTTGTTTATGTAAACGATTAGGTGGGTATTAGTTGATTGGTAATTTGATTTAGGGGCACAATTGTGTTTATAAATGCAAGCACTCTTTGTCATGATATATTATTGGTAGGCCCTTGTTTGAGCACTAATGGAATTAATTTTGTCTTCATCACATCAACATAATTTAGAAAATAAGAATCTTAAAAGGTTACAGATAAGACTACTAACTCTTACAATGGTTTACCAATCACAACCATCACGTGTAAGGACCAACCAACACATGTTATGGTACCTTTATTTGAAGTTTTGGGTTCTTAAAACTGCATATAAATAGGGAGTGCTTTTCCCCTTTTACCCTCCATGTTCGCAATTAAGAAGTTTAGATTATGGGCCTAAGGACTATTCCAACTATGGGCTCATAGAAGTTTAGGTGTTGGTGGATTTTTTATGAAATATAAGTAGTGCATAGATAAAAGAAAACAGTTTTTTTTTCACAAATAATTTTCTTGAAGTATTTCCTATATTATTTTAACCAAATTCCTTTACCGCTTTACTTATTAGCATTGCATTAAACATAAATTTAAAATAAAAATTACCTAAAGCATTAGTCCATTTATGCTGTAGAAGACAAACCTATGGACTACTGA